TATATATATATATATATATATATATATATATATATATATATATATATATATATATATATATATATATATATATATATATATATATATATATATATATATATATATATATATATATATATATATATATATATATATATATATATATATATATATATATATATATATATATATATATATATATATATATATATATATATATATATATATATATATATATATATATATATATATATATATATATATATATATATATATATATATATATATATATATATATATATATATATATATATATATATATATATATATATATATATATATATATATATATATATATATATATATATATATATATATATATATATATATATATATATATATATATATATATATATATATATATATATATATATATATATATATATATATATATATATATATATATATATATATATATATATATATATATATATATATATATATATATATATATATATATATATATATATATATATATATATATATATATATATATATATATATATATATATATATATATATATATATATATATATATATATATATATATATATATATATATATATATATATATATATATATATATATATATATATATATATATATATATATATATATATATTTAAATATATATTTTAAAGGTTCAATTTAATTTATACTTGTGACAACTATGTAAAAGTTTACTAACTTTGAACTATTGTTATAGCAATCAAATGATACTTTTAAGCATTACACTTATAATTTATTTTTGAAATAGTACATTTTATGGAGAGCTGAGGATATGGGGTGTGTCTGGGCTGGTGGTCCTGATCCTGGAAGTACCTCTTGGAGAGCAGGTGAGATGATAGTGGAGTGGAGTTGAAACCCCTTAGTGATATAGAAGTTTGTTTAAAAGCAAATGTATCTAACACAGTCAATGTATAAAAAGGTTATTCCATTGCCAGAAATGTCCTCCTCCAGTTTGTAGCAGTTAAGCAGGAAGTTGTTTCTTTGCAGTGTCACATCCCACAGACTTGCCATTATAAACTTGTCTATGTATGTATTGATATACGAGTCATTATTGGCAATGACTATCAGATCAGATGTGGCAGAGTTTTTTTATTTATTTTTATTTATTTTTTTATTATTATTATCAATTAATGTACTTATATCAACTGCCAATATCAAACCCTGAACTCGGAAAACAGTGTCACCACTGAACTGTGTGAATGTAAATGTTTATCATGGGCTACCATGGCCAATGTTAATGTTTACTTTTGAGGCTCTTTTGGTCTACTTCACTTCACTCAAACAGATCCTATTTAGGTAATTTCTTGATTGCGAACGTGTGGTTGTAATCAGGTCTGGGTGTGGAAAGAGAACTTCAGTGTGATAAATTAGTTGGTTTATTGGGAAAAAAAACATTTTCATACAAAGCTATGTAGTTCAGTACTTTGCTTTGTTTTCCTTTTAAGAATAAAAACCTTCATTTAAAAACTGCACAACGTGTATAATTGTGTAATCTTTGACTAATATTTACATTTCTTTGATGAGCTGAAACCGTTAAGTGTTAGAATTGTGCTCTGCATTTGTTACATACAGATTACTTACCTCTAAAACGTGTCATTTAAAGGTGCAGATTAAAGGCCTTGTGCAGATATTATGCAGATATGTCTCATGTCTGTGAGGCAAATATTTGCAGAGAATTAGCTGTTTTTTCTGACAGGTTTACCGGTCAGGCACAAAATGAAAAAGCATTCCCTATCTGCTTTACAGGTTTTTCAAAAACATGTTGTTTTGTGTGATTATGAACATATACAAATAAAAGCTGTCCATTTACAGCTTTCAAATTTATGTCTCATCAATATGACCAAAAATTATCTGGGATCATTCAAATAAAAATCTGTTATAAAAAATGTTTGTAATAGACCCCGGGAGGTTGATATAACAAGATCAATCTAAATATGATCTGCTAAGTTTTTACATTTAATGTGCATCAAACTTAAGGTTTGTGTAGCCAATGTTTTTAGTGATTTTTCACTTCAGCTTTTGATTTACTAAAAACTGAACTTTTTTTTTTTTATTTCAGACCTAATTAAAGAGTATGAGAAGAGTAAAGAGGAGGAACATCATGTCAGAATTGAGGACAAAACTAATTTAGAGACTGATGGTATTTTAAAAGTGAAAGAAAAGAGTTGTTTTACCTGCACTCAGTGTGGAAAGAGTTTGGCAAGCAAAAGCACACTTAAGATTCACATGAGGATCCACACTGGAGAGAAACCATTCACTTGCACTCAGTGTGGGAAGAGTTTCATCCACTCATCACACCTTAATCAACACATGATGATCCACACTGGAGAGAAACCATTCACATGCCATCAGTGTGGGAAGAGTTTCAGCAAATCATCATCGCTTAATAGACACATGAAGATCCACACCAGAGAAAAACCCTTCACTTGCAATCATTGTGGGAAGAGTTTCAACCAATCATCATACCTTTATAAACACATAAGGATCCACACTGAAGAGAAACCATTCACATGCACTCAGTGTGGGAAGAGTTTCAGCCAATCATCATACCTTATTAGACACATGAGGATCCACACTGGAGAGAGACCATTTATATGCACTCTGTGTAAAAAGAGTTTCACCCAATCAGCATCCCGTAATCTACACATGAGAATCCACACTGGAGTGAAACCATTCTCATGCACTCAGTGTGGGAGGAGTTTCATCCACTCATCACACCTTAATCAACACATGATGATCCACACTGGAGAGAAACCATTTACATGCAATCAGTGTGGGAAGAGTTTCAGTAAGTCATCATCGCTTTATAGACACATGAAGATCCACACTGGTGTAAGAGAGTAAATGTGCTTGGAGTTTGAGAAGACTTTTATTACAGCTGCAGGATTCAAACGGCACCTGAGAATTCACACTAGAGCAAAAAACGTACAAGTGTTTACACTGCAATAAGAGGTTTACTCACTCAGGAACCCTGAAAACACATGAGATGATTCACATTGGAGAGAAACCGTAGACATGACCAGTGTGTACAGAGTTTCACTCATTCAGGGCAGCTTAAGAAACACATGGGATGATTTCCGGTATGGCGTCAATAAGTAGCAGCATACAAAGAGCGCTCCCATACACACTGGTATTAATCCACCTTTTTACATCGTATATGATTACCTAAACCATATTTAAATAACATGGAGGGGGACAAAAACAAAAAGGCTAGGACAAAACAACCATTGAAACCTGAAAAAAACGAGAAATCAACAGATGAAAAATCGGAGACGGATGGGATAGCTGATAGCCTGTCAGCTAGTATTCCAGCAATACATACAGACAAAGTAACTTTAAACAAGAAGTCTATCAAAAACTGGATGGTCTTATCACGGACATAAATGCAACAGCAGAAAAGGTCAATGAAGCGGAGCAACGAGTTGGAGAATTGGAGGAGAACGTTGCTGAAATAAAAGAAATGCTCGATCAAACCATCCAAATTCAAAAAAGTTTAAAAGAGAAACTTTTAGATCTAGAAACACGCTCCCGTAGAAATAATATTCAGATCTTTAGAGTCCCAGAAGGAAGCGACGGGAATAATCTATCCAAGATAATATCCAAGACTTGGTGAAAATGATTATCAAAACGGAGCTGTCACTCGACGAATTGGACCTTAAAATTCAACAGTGTCACGGGGCACTCGGACCAAAACCACACGCTGACGCACACCCTAGATCAGCGATGCTATTCTTCCTGGAATACAAAACGGAGGACCTGGTCCTCCGCTTTGCATGAAGAAAGAAAGTAATACACTGGAATGGAAAAAATAATTTTCTTTGACAAAACTACCCACCTGAAATCCAACAGAAAAGACCCCGATAAGAAAAATTCATAAAGAAAAGGGGATTAAGCTTCAAACACCACCGCCTGTGAAACTTAGAATCTTTCTGCAAAACAGGCTGGTCATGTACAATTCGATGACGGAGGCATCAAGAGGGGGTCTTTTGCAGTGGGAGGCAAATAGTGCTAGTGTGCCGTACCTTTTTGTGGAAGGTTGAACAGCAAAGAATGGTAATTTCTACATGTATATGTAGAAATTATATATCCTGCTTGGAAAACCTGATTGACACAAATCCTGCATGTTCATAGCAAGTACCTATAATTCACACTTATATTTGTGAGTTTGCATTATTGTATATAACTTATGCAAATGTTTTATGCCCTGTTTGCTGTAAACTGGAGTGATGAGGAGATGGCAGGATGACATACTTTGCTTCTTGTTTTCATTAATTTTTACTTTTGTATTTGTTTTCCTTTGTGCATGTCCTAAGGCTTAGCTAAAGACCTATATGGTGATATTTTATAAAGCTGACAAGATGCAGAAATGCCATCTTAGGTACTTTTGCTGTTTGTCCAATCAGGGACAGTGACAACGTAAATATGCAAATAATAATGTTAACCCGTGTTTGCAAATGTCAAACGTCCGATAATAAACACCCAGGATTATTTGTTACCCCAGGTATAGTATGAGCAGTGTGGAACGTGCTTACAGATAACCCAGGATTCTGTTTATCCAGTGTTAGAATGACCCAGGGTTAACAAATGTTTGCATATCATCAGCATGCTGTAATCCATTTCTTAAGCAGCAAAAGTCATTTTTAGACTCGTTTGTTGGCCAGTTGTAATCAGTACAATGCTAAATGTTATTGTTCCACTATAGTTAATTCATTTTGTCTTACATCGTCCCACAGCAACATCATATAGTTTAGAATACTGTACAATGTTTTATAACAATTAACAATTTTACTGTCCATGTCATTCAGCATATTTAAAATTGGGGGCATTCACATTTTTTGACATATTTTAAACCAGGGTTTCTGCAGGTTTCAAATGGCCCAGATAATTATTTATATTCAAATCTCTTCTTCGTAATTATGACATTTACATTTTTGTATTTCTACAACTTCATAGGCTATATCTAGGGTTTTAGTGCAGTCTTGGGTGTACACTAGGCACTTAGGTATTGTCCACCACGTGTTGTTTCAATCCCCTGAGAACTTTGCTCATCTTCAGAACACAAATGAAGACACTTTAGATAAAATCTGAAAATCCCTAGATGCTTAAATAACAGACAAGGAACCAAAAACATTGTCAAAACAGTCAATGTGACTTCAGTAGTTTAATTGTAATCGAGTCCCAAAAACACTTTGTGCCATTGAACCATAGTGGCTGTTTTTTTTGCCTCTGTATTCTTCAGTATATCTTCATTTGCATTCAACAGAAGAAATTCAAATAGGTGTGGATCAAGTAGAGGATGGGTAAATGACAGAATTGTAGTTTTTTATGTGAACTACCCCTTTATTGCTTCTTTATGTAAAGGTATTATTACTGAAGATATTGCTATAGAATGGCAAGAAACGAAGAATACAGAAAATAATTCATATGAAATGGGTGCCATTTCCACATTGAAATTTTCAAAATTCTCATTAAGTACAAACTTCAAAAAAAATAAAAAATAAAAAATACAACTTGAAAGATATTTTAACCCTCCAAAACAGCTTTTTTCCCACCTCAGGCACAAAATCCTTTTTAATTATATTGCTTTTCCTTATAGGCAAGAGAGCCTCTCTTGTACCACATCGTTACAGACAATATGTGTGATATTACAGTAGTAAAACAACAAATTGCTTTTTAAATTCAAATGTTTTCTAAATAATAAAATTTCCTCTTTTATGTAACTATCAATAGAAAGTTTGTAGTTTAATAATTTTTTTATTATTACATTTTTAACTTTAAATAATAAATTTGACACATCAAGTGCCTCATTGTTTTTACTGAAAAAACAAATTCCTTTAAAAAATATAAATCAACTTACTTTTTAATTCATTAAATGGACACAGTAAGAACACAATTCAACATTAATTTATGTCACATTTCATTTCCTTTACATAAACCTTCGAGAAAATGACAGTGTGGCATCTGCTGTGACGGGGTTGTTCACTGTGACAGGGTGGTAAGAACAATGTGTTTTAAAAGTAATTTAACCAGTGTAAACCTTTAAACAGGGTAATTTGTGAAATTAAAAATATATCATTTTTATTTTGGGGTATGTAAAATTAGACCATTGAGGTAAGATGGACCACATCAGCTGGCTTTTTAGTGTGGAGTTTGCATGTTCTCCCCGTGTTGGTGTAGGTTTTCTGCCAAGTCCAAACACATGTGATATAGGTGAATTGGGTTAGTAAAATTGTTCTTAGTGTATGTGTGTGAATGAGTATGGGTGTTGGAATATGATGGAATGATGGAAGAGCATCGGCTGCGTAAAACATATGCTGGATAAGTTGGTGGTTCATTCTGCTGTGGTAACCCCAGATTAATAAAGGGACTAAGCCAAAAAAAAATAAAAAAGAATGAATGCTGAGCACTGCATGTCAAATAATGTTTAATCTGAATTGTGTACTACTCTTGATGGAAACAGATCTGTCTGCAATTATGTTGTAAAATGTGATTTTATTTTTTTTATTAAAACCAGATAGATTATGAATGTTTAAATGAAGGATATTGAGTGAATGACTAAACATTAAAAAAGAGAAAGAGTGAAAGAGAAAGTAATGAAGTGTGTGAGAGACCAAACAGGGTTAAATTAAAAGAAAATTCTGAATTAATTGATTAGCCCTATATTAGAATCTTTGATTTAATATATTTTCTCTTCGGCTTAGTCCCTTTATTATTCCAGGGTCGCCACAGCGGAATGAACCACCAACTTTGCCAGTACATGTTTTACACAGCAGATGCCCTTCCAGCCACAACCCATCCCTGGGAAACATCCATATACACACCCACTCACACTCATACACTACGGACAATTTAGCCTACGCAATTCACCTGTACCGCATGTCTTTGAACTGTGGGGGAAACCGTAGCATCCGGAGAAAACCCACGCGAACGCAGGGAGAACATGCAAAGGCTCGAACCAGCAACCTTCTTGCTGTGAGGCGACAGCGCTGCCTTCTGCACCACTGCGTTGCCCCTCTTTGATTTCATACATCTTCACATTCAAATAGGATGCAGAACCACCCCATCACATCCCTTACCACCCACTCACAACAAAAAATGTGACAATGTGGTAAAGTGCATCCAAAAATCACCACAAATCTCCCCTGTGGTCAAGTTCCTCTCCTAGAATACATTCATTCAATATAAAATTTACTCTACTTTGCTTTATAAATGTAAATAAATAAATAAGTTTACCCTATCTATTTTGCATGACGGAGTGGTTGGGTTGAGCTTGACGGACCCTGTCTAACAAGAAAAAACAACAACAAAAAAAGAAAAACGAATTTCTGTAATTTCCTGCTTTTAGTCTTGGAGGGTGCAGGGCCCATATGATGTCAATTCTGTTGTTGTGATGTCCTTTAAAACAAAAGTTTATCATTTATAGATGAAACAAGTTAGTGTGATGGGGTGCACAAAAATCGTGAAATATTTACAAAAAAATTTATAAAATAAATATATCTTATGGAAATAGAAACACACATATAAACCTCAAAACAATACAAATTTCAGAGGAAAAAAGTAATTTATTTGATGATATTTTAGGTGCAAATGCAATGTTAGTCAGCACGGACATGTGCAATTTGTCATGTAATCATGAAAAAGTATATAAAAAAAAGAGTATTACTCTTTAATAATGATAATATATCATGCAAGCAAGAACCCTTGAATAAACTACTTTAAGCTTTGGAAACAAAAATATATATATATATATATATATATATATATATATATATATATATATATATATATATATATATATATATATATATATATAT